CTTCTCCTTATTTCCAGGTTGACTCTCTCCTGGTTCAGTTTCCATCCATTGTTCCTTGACTGGCCTTCAGGTTAAGTATATTATGCCCGAACTAAGTAATCAAATGTTCTCTAATTCGTTAAAGATAATGTTGGAAAGTCTGTCTTCTCCAAATATCTGCTAGCCTATGTGGTGTTTTTTTAAAGGAGGCTATTGGTAAATAAGATTTAAAAGGTGAAAAGATTTGTAAGAGCAATAAGATTCCAAGAGTCAGGTCATGATGAAGTACTAAAGGTATTAATTTTAAAAATTGCTGATTTTGGGGGAAAAAACGCTTAGGTGCATTGGGGGGGGGGGGGGAATGCTGTGTGTGAATGCAGTGACAGGATCATAACCAGAGTTTGTTATTCTGTTTCCAACTATGTGACAGATACCTACAAAAGATGACAAAAAGGGGAGGGTGTTTGGAAGGGTAAAGTTTTTCCAAAGCAAATTTAATTTATGCAGGAAATCTGGGACTTCTATGAATGAAGAGATACAACCTAGGAACAAGAAGAAATTTTCTGACAGAGCAATCAACCAATGGGACAGCTTTGCCTTTGGAAGTTGTGGGAGCTTCATCACTGGAGACTTTCAAGAATAGACTGGACCATCTGTCAGAAATGGTATAGGTTCTCCTGCTTGGGCAGAGGGTTGGACTAGATGACCTACGAAGTCCCTTCCAACTCTGTCAATCTCAATGAGTCAGGACAGTATCCCACATACTACACAATCTGTTAAAAATATCGTACTTCTTTCCTCCTTACTTTTAAAATCACATCTTCCCACTTGCATCTAGGAATTACTACTGATTGTATTAGGATTTTTAAATATTAGTTTAATACATCATATCGTGTTCTGGGGATGTTTTACATTTTTTGGTTACAGTGAGCCTCCCAAAGTCATGTACCTGAGATACTCAGCTATATAAACTGAAATAATAAATGCATAAATAAACTCTTGCTGCAGTTACCACCAACTTGTTTCAGCGCCTTCACCACAGCAGTGAGCCACGATTACACAGGCACTTGATTAGCCAATTCTCAAAAGGGTCCTCTTTCTTAAATCGATCAGCCCTCTCGAATGATCATAGAGAGCATCAAAACAGCTTCGACCTCGATAGAACGTCTCGCATTCGAACTTCCGGTAAGCCGAGAAACACGACAGAACTTCCGGCGAGGTAAGGAGTGTGTGGCTTTCCTTCGCTCGAGCTTCATTCAGACTTAAATTACAGTACGGAGTTGCGATTGCAATGGACAACTCCACAGTTGTGGGCCCATACATTGGGCACCAGAAAACACAATTGCTTGCAGTTGAGTTTTGGCCACAGAGTTAACCCTCCCGGCTATGACCGAGGACATTTCCTGCAAAGGGAATAGTCGAGTGCCTCCTCGTGGTGGGAATAAAACATTGCAACTCTTGGATCCAAGATGCTGAAGAAGCTACAGTTGATCTGCAAGGTGCAACTCCCATCATCTTTGAAGCTGATTGTGTGGCGCGGCCCTGGACTACAGCTACTATCATCCTCGGGGCTAGTGCTCCACGGTTGTGTTAGACTACAACTCTCGCCCTCAGGAGAAACTTCCAGACATGATAAAGTACACCTCCCAATTGTGGTGCAAAATGAACTTGCTTATTGTACCCTATATTATTAAGTGTTGTACCTTATGATTCTTGACTAATGTATCTTTTACGTATACTGAGAGCATTTTCACCAAGACAAATTCCTTGTGTGTCCAATCACACTTGGCCAATAAAGAATTCTAAGTGAACTAGCACACCTTTGGCTGATTGTATCCAGGTTGGCAGTACTTAAAATTTTGGCTCTTTTAAAGAAGCATAATTGTTAACAGAATGAAGAGGAATAAGCTAATTGAAAAAACTCAATGTTAAAGTTGGAGATTAAAATGGTATTCATGGTGACAGAGAATCCTTTATAATGCTGCAGTGCCTTATCTCTATTACAGTGGAGAAAAATTCTTATGGGGAACTATTGTCTTTGGTTCACAGAAATGAGAAATCTTGAAAGTAGTGTAGTGGGGGTGGAACCCACAGATTTGGGGATACGGAAGACTTGTTGATTATTGAAAAGAGGACCTGGACAATGATCAATCTTGGAGAATTGAAGGAAAGATATTTTTATCCCACTTTTCAGTGAGCATACTGATTTTTCCCATAACAACAATCCTGTGAGGGGGATTGGACTGAGAGTGACTGGCCCAAAACCACTCAAGCTAAATGAGAGGCCTAAGATTCACTCTCCTAGTTTCTAGTTAGCAAGTGGCCTACAGTAAACGGGTGCTCAAAACTCGGGACAGCAGGAATCTTCAGAGTGCAAAAAGGAAATGTTTTTAACCCATTGTTTTTCAACCTCCACAACATTATGCTGTGCAGACTTCAACTCCCAGAATTCCCCTAGCCAGCCATGCTGGCTGGAGAAATTCTGGGAGTTTACATCCCAGAAGTTTAATAGTGCAGAGATAGACATTATTTTAAGCGGAGGTTAAGTCATCCAACACACGAGTTATACTGCACATAAGTATTTAAAGTCTAGGAAATGCTCAGCCATCATTTAAAACATGATTTGTACAAAATTAAAACCCAGAATCTGTTCTGGGTACAGAGCTCACTTTGGGTGGTCAATTATATGTACTTGTGCACAAGCAAATTCCTACAAAATAGAGGTGATTGTGGAGAAGCCATTACTGGGAAGTTGGCCATCTTTGTGTATGCATAAACTCCTACAAGATGGCATGTTCTGAGTGGGGAAAAGATTTCTATCAGCAATGTACTTAAAATTGCCCAGAAAGGATCCACGCAATCAAATATGACTTAACTGGTCAGAAACTGCTCATTCTCAAGACATCCTGTTGGGAGACCATAAAATGGCTCTGGGTGTTGAAACAGCACCACTCACAGCTCACTCATTTAACTGATGACAGCTTGCAGAAAAAGAATAAGACTAGAATACCATCTTTAGTTTGCCCCTTCCTATGCTTTTATTAGTAAGCCTTTCACATTTATTTCTTTTCTGCTATTCAGTCAAAAGATCAAGGCCTCTGTGACTCTTTTTCAAAGATTAACACTTTGTGCTAAACATGGGTGTATAATCACTTGCCCCAGAAATCATTTTTATTAAAGATGTTTTAATTCAAATTCCTATAAAAAGTAAGGGCTCTAGAGACTATTTACTTTGACAATTCAACCCCAGCATAAACTGCTTGCTTTTATGTTATCTTTACTTATTTGCAGGGGCTACAGGGAGAGCTTTTAAGTCAATGTTGACTCCTGATGGTTGCCCGAATAAGTCCTTGCAGTTTTCTTGGCAAGATTTCAAGTGGTTTGCCTTGGCTTCCTTCCTGGAACTAAGAGGGAGTGATTGGCCCAAGGGCACCTCAGCTAGCTTTGCCTCAGACAGGACTAGAAGTCAGGTCTCCTGAACCTTCACCTTAACCACCACACACCAAACTGGCTCTCATCGAGCTGCATCGTCCTGCCTAAACTGTATTCCTTTGCCCCCTTATCCACCAGGACTCTGCCAAAACACCTTCCCAAGCACTTGTCAAACTAATTACTATGTAATGACTGCATTCACTCTTTCTGCCTTTCTCTTTGCAAAGAAAATTCTTCCTAAAACCAGCAATTTGGTCTTCACGCCCACATTTAAAGAAACTGTACCCTTCTCATTTTGCAAACCGCACCCATTTTTATCATTTTATTTGGTCATATCCTCCAGTTTTCAGCATTCTCACATTTGTGACTTCCACATTTTTTTTTCCTTGGACACTTAACTTTTGTAGCAACTGTTTTAATCCCATTTCTTTGACATATTCCCATACCAATATCAAAATATTGTTATGATTGTAAGCTGCCTAGTTACCTTGAGGCAAGATGGGCGGCCTATACATTTTATAAATATACTCCATCCAGCATCCCTTCATTTCATTTTCACCCCATATTATTTCACCTTTTTTTTTTTTAGCTCTGTCCACTTAGCTAAAGGTTCCCGATTTAGACTTTAATCTACCTTTTTAATTCCTACAAAATTGGGAATTGTTTTTTTTTAATCTTAACCATTTCTTATTCTCAAATTATATTCTTTCAGCATATATCTATATCTTTTCCAATTATTTCATCTTCTCTCAATTTCTTTTTCTTTTATGTCATTTTTTTTCCTTTCAGCCTCTTCTCAAATACAACACTCCAGTTTTCATTTATTCATTCATTGATACACCTTGTCCTTTAATCCTTTACATTCCACATTGTAGGCTTCTATATGCATTGGTCTTTACCAAATCAGACCAAAATTATACGCTTGTGCTGCCCACCATGATTTTGGTCAGTGAAGGTTTTCAGATAACAAAGACTTGGTTTTCAGCCTTAGTCAACCCCATGCCTTAGGTAACATTCCTTGTTAATGTTAAAAGTAAGGTATGATGTAATATGGCTGGTATGTCATAAAAGCAACACTGCCAGTGTTATCCAATAGACCCATTCTACTCTACTTAAGCTAGGGGTTCTAATCTAGATAACACAGAAGTCCTTAATTTATAACCATTCATTTAGTGACTGTTTGAAGTTACAACGGCACTGAAAAAAGTGACTTATGACCATTTTTCACATGGTCATTGCAGCATCCCTCTGGTCATGTGATCAAAATTTGGAAGCTTGGAAACTGGCATGTAGTTATGACCGTTACAGTGTCCCGGGGTCATGTGATCAGTTTTTGCGACCTTCTGACAAGCAAAGTCAACGGGGAAGCCAGATTCACTTAATAACCATGTTACTGAACTGCAGTGACTCACTTAACTGTGTCAAGAAAGTTTGCAAAACAAGGCAAAACTCACTTGTCTTGCTTAGCAATGGAAGTTTGGGGGTTCAATTGTGGTTGTAAGTCGAGGACTTTAAAAGCCAAGTGCTGCTGTCCACTCATGTAGAGACACAAAGCAGTACATACACTGTTTTATAAAAATATATAACATGGTAACCCATCACCAATGCCATCTTTCAAATCAAACTTTTAATTTTCCACTTTGTTTTAACAAATCATTACGCTTTCAAAAAGTCTTCCTAAAAAACGTGCACCTCCCATAAAACGTAAGACTAACAATACAAAAGGCAACAACAAAACCAGTGAAATGTTAAAAAAACAACTCAAAAATGGCAGGAACTCAACCTGCAACTTTTTCTAACGACCAGAGATAACACAACTGCCATTTTATATTGCAACGAAGCTTGGATTGACACTGAATGGTATATTATTGTGTTCATGACAAAAATAAAATGGACTCTCTCTCCATAGTTGAGGAGTTTGCAGGTCTTTTCTAACCTGCTGAAATTCCAAAGAAAGCATCGCTTCAAAACCTATAAATAGGAAATACACCAACATGAAGAGAGAGAGAAAAAATCACACCAGCATTAGCTGTGCTGCATCAGGACAGAAGGAAATGAGGAAGGACATGAAGAAAACCGTGTTTAGGGCACTTTGTAGGGCAAACAAGCTACGGAAATAATTACATTTTCATGGTTGAGTATCAATCCTTGCCCCAAACTGGACTTTCCTGCTACATAACAGTGCTATTCACTGAGTGCAAGGAAGAGGATCTGTAATGGAAGGATTTTATTACTGGCTTTAAATCGGAAAGAGGTGAACTAAGATTTCTTCTCCAATTTAGGGCTCACCAACCTTCATCTCCAGCAGTCCTAGGAGACAGAGGAGGTTGGCGATGAACATCTTTAGCCATTATGGATGCTGCACTCAGAAGGAGCAAAGGAACTAACATTAGCAAGCGGACGTATCGTCGGTATCCAAGGGACAGACTGCGGATGGACGTATTTACAACGCTAACTTTGCTGGTACTTCCCCGAGTAAAGAGATAACGGGACTTCCCACCATTCTGCAGCTCTTCTTCAGGGAAGGTTAAGTCACACAGGGAGAATAAAAATAAACATTAAAAAAAATGGAACTTCATCACTGCTTCTGCTGGAGGGCTTCCTTGCGAGCCGCATCTTGCAGGAGTTGGGTGTCCACCTCGTCGGCTGGAAGCTGGACATAGCGGACGACAGACCCACGAATGAAGCAATTCTTGACGGACAGCTGAAGAGAAACAGAGAAGAGCTTTGGAGGGCAACGTAAGGATCAATGGGTCTAAAGTCAGGCTACTCAGGCAACTGGGTACAGGTAGTCCTCAACTTATGACCACAAAGGAGCCCCACGTTTATGTAGCTAGGTGCAGGCATGATATTCCCCTCTGAAAAAAAAATCGGGGCCAGCCAAGAGACCCCGCGCCGCGAGTCAAGAAATCGCACACACAACACCAACGCTACACACCCTTCCTTTCCAGCCGGTCACGTGTGGATCAGCTCCAGAGCTGGGCAGCCGCTTCCCTGGGGGCGGGGGCGAGGCCGCCGCCCAGGGAGCGCCCGCTGCTTTCCCTCGCCAGGGCCAGGCGGTGGCGTGTTGCACAGAGACGGCTGGTCCATGGCTACCCAGCTCCCTTTTCCTGCCACTCAGCGGCCTCCGCTTGCACCGCCCGGGCTCCGCTCAGGTGTCCAGCGTTGCTACTGCCGGCGTGGCTCCGCACGGCTCCAGTCACGCGTTGCCTCGGGAAGGGAAAGGCAAAACCGGGAGCTGCTGCGCCTGAGCCTCCGGTGCCGCTGCTGCTGTTGCAAAGCGCCGCCGTGGGTCTTCCTTTTTGCCTTTCCCTTCCTGAGGCAACGCGGGACTGGAGCCGCGCCGGCGGTAGCAACTCCTGACTCGGGGCCTCCGAGGGGAGGGGAAGGAGGAGAAGGGGGGAAAGGGGGGGGCAATTCCCCCAAAAATCAGAATTCTGATTTTAATCAGAAGAATATCATGTTTGTAGGTGAGACATTTGTTAAGTGGGTTTTGCCCCATTTTACGACTTTCCTTGCCACATTTGTTAAGTGAATCACTGCAGTTATTAAATTAGTAACACGGTTGTTAAGTGAATCTGGCTTCCCCATTAGACTTCACTTGTAAGATGGTCACAAAAGGGGGATTCCATGATCCCGACACACTGCAACTGTCAAAAATGTGAGTCAATTGTCAATATAAATCACATTGTGATGACCGGGGTGTGGCACAAAGGCAACACAGTCAAATAAGCAAGAAGTGTCCCTTTGGCACCTCCGACTTTGCCCCCAATGTCCAGGTTACCTTCAGTTGAAGAAAAAAAAAACTCTCCCAAGAACAGTCTTTAAGTGGAGGAAATTCAATCCAAAAACAAAGTACATACAAACTGTAAATAAAAATCCACACAAACCACTCTGCAGTAATTAATTTGACAGGGCAGGAGAAGGAATTGCAGACTTGAAAGCCCAGCAAAACACACCCAGTTGGGAAGACGCCAGGAATCCAAATAAGCCTCGATGATACCAGATAACTCACAATTTGCTCTTAACAATTTGCTGTGCTCAACCTCTCTTTTTAAACATTGTGTTCCCAGCTGCAGCTAATGAAGGGAATCAGGGCCCTTTCCTCCCCGCTAAGCACGTTGCTCTTTTCTCTGTTCCTCCCTGCATGCCCTAGGATGAAGAGGGGGTAGGCCTGGGTCTTCCTCCAAATTCCCTCTCCCTTGCTCTACCTCTCCCCTATTCTGCCCAGCTGGATTTTGCCCTTCCCCAGTTTCTTCCACAGCCAACGGAGCCACACTCGCACTCTGTCAGCTGCTCAGCCTCCCCCTCTGAACCAGATTCTGACAGGGGCGTGATACTCATAACCATGGGGATGCTGCACTGGTCCTAAGTGTGAAAAAAGGTCATAAGTCACTTTTTTCAGTGCCATTGTAACTTTGAACAGTTACTAAGTGAATTGTTGGAAGTAGAGGACTACCTGTATAATTCAGATAGACTTTTAGCCTCTTGTGTTTCGGAAAAGCATTGGTTATGAGCACTTTTGTGTCACAGCCCGTTTCCTGTGCTAAATTATTTTTCTAATCCTGTCAGCTACTGTTAAACAAACCATTAAAATACCACATAATTTTTAAAAAACACACATCTGCAGGGCCAAAGGGGTCAGGAGGTTACATGGCCTGGGAGATGTTATTGGTCTGCTGAGTACAGATAGTCCTTGATGTATGACTACCGAGCCCCAAATTTATGTTGCTAAGCGAGACATTTGTGAGTTTTCTCCCATTGCACAATCTTTCTTGCCACAGTTAAGTTAGTAACTCAGTTGTTAAGTGAATCTGGCTTCCCCAGACTTTGCTTGTCAAAAAAGGTGATCAGACCCCAGGATACTGAAACCGTCATAAATATGAGACAGTTGCCAAGCATCTGAATTTTGATCATGTGACCATGAGGATGCTACAACAGTCGTTAAGTCATTTTTTTCAGTGCTGTTATTTGGGTCACTAAGGGAATGGTTGTAAGTCGAAAACTAGTGAGTTTGTTCTGGGCCATTGTTGATTTTTTTATGTTACACTGAATATTTCTGCATTTTATAATGTGCTGTTGTTCATCAAGGATCACATCTGTAAGATGGGTGTCATGATGATTGACCAAATAAAAAATGAACAAGCAGGAACAGCTAATGAGGTGGGATCACTCAATTTCAGTAAGGTACCTCAAGTTTGCTCCCACCTCAATATTCATATAATATGCATCACATATTATATGCTGCTCTTTTAATTTTCATTTCAAATTGCTGATTATAAAGTTGAAAACGGGATAGTTAAAATAGATCAAGAAAAGGTTAAAAATATGGTTAAAATATATTCAAAAGTAATATATCTAGATTCAGTTTTGTTCCATATAACATCAACTTTGTAAACATTCAAGTTTCCTCTTTCCACTACATATTCAAAATGGATAGTGATTAATGTATGTATGTATGTATGTATGTATGTATATAGCATGTGCATATTTGTGTTATGTATGAGTTTGGGTAGATATACACTTTCTCTTGAAGAGCAGAATTTCATTTTTAATGTGGGCTAGTGTACTCACAGTAAAAAAAAATGATAATAATAGTTATATCATCTTGTCTCTTAATAGATATATGTTATAAGGCTCCTTGGTTAAAATAAACAGCCAATAACCATTATCATCTTAGCATTTATCCATATTTTTCAAATCCTGCCATAGTCATTAGATGAGCACTCACCATATGGGGGTATTTTTCTGGATCTGTCACACTAATGTCCGTGAGCTTAATATTCAGGTACTATGGAATCAGGGAAGAAAAAAATAGACAGTTCAGCAAACAAGTAAGATATTCTGTATTTCCCAAGGTTAACCTCCAGATCATTCAAGGCTGCCAATCCAAAATCATCACTAGTTTCTTTTCACTTCAGTGGGGATTAAACCTATCTTTTGACAATCTCACAGAGATTTTCCATACCCAAGTTAATTGTGGCATTGTTCACCAAGTTACTACCTCTGAGAGGAGCAAAAGTAAAGGTTGTTTCCCAGATTTCTTTTCAATGTGAGTGGAAATAAAACAAGTTTATTTGCTGCCCTAAGCTACTACAAAGACAAAATACAAAATGAAATGTGCTGAAGGATGATTGTATGCATAGCAGAGGTGTAGAAATATTTCAGATATAGGAAAGTAGTGATTTAAATACCACCGACCTACTTACGCAGAATGCAAAACAAGTACATTCTTTAGAAGGGTTGCAAAAAGGTTGAGGGTTAATTCATACCTGATCTACAGAATGTAAGGTCCCACAGATGCTACAAAAAAAGGAAAAAAAAGAAAAAAAATCTGAATTAAGGTGACATGAGTTCTTAAAAACACAGCAATATCTTGTGAATTAAATAGAGAGAATGAAAGCTAAAATGGGTGGATTTACTAAGCAGAAAGCAGCCAGAAATTAGAAGGCTAGGATCATAAAGAAACCAGGATTAATTTGCAGCCAAACAGCTGTGACTAAAAACATACCTCAAGTCATTCTTCAATTCCACTACTACGTCCTTCCCTACTAGGGATTTGAAGAAGGAATAGAAAAGCTGAGGATAAAGAAAAAAATTAACATAAAGCAAGTTTTAAGAAGCATTTCACAATCTAATACAAAGCATTTATACAGATGTTCCCATTTATCAAAAATAGTATCTTACACTACTCTAACCCCAATAAATACTATAGTGGACTGAGCAGAAACTACATGTGCCCAAACATGTGCAAATCCTCATTAAAATAAAGAACACATTCATAATTACCAAACATTCAGCTTGTGCTGTGCATTTCAGCAGATATTCTCAACTTTCAGCAAGTGTAAGAAGTGTGGATTTCAACTCCCAGAATTCTCACGCTTTTTCCAAAAGGCAACTAGATTTAACTTGATTTTTTTTCCCTTTGGAAAAAGATTTCTGTAGCTTAAGAACCCCACTTCTCTCAGCATCCAGTAAGCAGTTCCCAAGGGACTATATTCTTGGTTTGCACCAGGGAGAGACAGGATTACATCCTTTTAAACTTTTTAACCTGTTACATATGCACGCAGTATACACGACCTCTTTCATCTTAAAAAAGCAGGTCCTTTTTAAAAGTAGACATTCAATAAATATTTTGGGTTTGTATGGCCTCAAGAAAAAAAAATCATTGACGATTTGAGCACCTGCGGATATATACGCCGTCATTCAGGATTTGGCGCTACGAGCCCGTTTGCCATGATCCCAGCTAACAATGCCTAACACAAGTTTACTGGGCTGCAAAATCGGGTTCACACGTGATTTCTAAGTGCAAAGACGGACTCGCCCAGGCATCTTCAAAATAAACGATTAAAATCCCCCGTCCCTCCCTACCCCGACAGAGCAAAGTTATTTCCCACCACACACAAAGTGACTGCTGCGCTCACCATATTTCACGCTGCGCGATGCAGAAATAAAGACCCCGCGTGGATCAACTCGCAGAACTAGGGGAGAGAAGGTGGGGAAAAGATTGGAAAGAACTTCCCGGGCTGCGCATGCGTGGTGAGAACGTCTGTCTTACGGAAGGCGACAGAAATAGTGACTTCAGGCGCAACCGGAAGCGAACCGGAAACAGGAAGCTCTTCTTAAAGGAGCCGAAAATATATATATTTGGTGCATTCTGTGCAAGGAAGAGTTATCTCGATTACTTTTTAAAAGCTGTCGGATTTATTGTGCGTGCTGCAGTGAAGAAAATGCCTGCAGTTTGTCAGCCTTTTCTCCCTCCCACTTTTTTTAATAAAGAACTATTTTTATAAATAACTCTTAATTTTATAAATAACTGGAAAAAGTGCAAAAGACGAGCAGCTAAGATGATTAAAAGCCTGGAGACTAAAACATATGAAGAACGGTTGCAGGAATTGGGTATGGCCAGTCTAGAGAAAAGAAAGTCTAGAAGGGGACATGATAGCAGTCTTCCAGTATTTGAGAGGCTGCCACAAAGAAGAGGGGGTCACCTTATTTTCCAAAGCACCAGAAGGCAGGACAAGAAACTATGGATGGAAACTAATCATGGAGAGAAACAGCCTAGAATTTAGGAGAAACTTCCTAACAGTGAGAACAATTAACCAGCAAAACAACTTCCTTTCAGAAGTTGTAGGTCATCATTGGAGTTGTTTAAGAAGAGACTGGAGAGTTACTTATCTGAAATGGTAAAGCATCTCCTGCTTGAGCAGGGGGTTGGACTAGATGATCTCCAAGGTCCCTTCCAGCTCTATTCTGATTCTGAAACTCAAGGCAGGAAACATACCTAATACTCTTTCATTCTTCCTATTTTCCTACAACCACGACCCTGTGAGGTGGATTGGGTTGAGAGAAAGAATGACTGGTCCAAAGCCACCTAGCCGGCTCTCATGCCAAGATGGGACTAGAACTCACGGTCTCCTGGTTTCTACCCTGGTGCCTTAACCGCTACACCAAATTGGTTTTCTAACAAGGCAAATATTAGAGGTTGTCAGGAATACTTGAGCTACGGGTAGTTGTAACCGAGCTGAAGACATGTCAACTCAACCCCAGAGCCAAGAGTTTCCAGCAAAAGCAGCAGAAATTTCAGGATCTCTGAAATTGGCGTTGAGGACATGTGAAGTTGGATGAGGTTAAAAGAGCAGCAAGTCTGTTTCTTTTTATTTTATACTGACTGGATAAGGATGTTTCATAACTCCATCTAACAGTATTTAGAGAAAATGATTTTGGGTGACTCAAGCCAATGAGTCATCTTGTTGGTAGAGAAAACATCCTCAACTCCTTTCATCATCCATCAAGCAGTTTTACATAAGGTGGCCTGTGATTTCAGGAGGTGGTGTGTTGCATAGATCTGGCTCTTGGATCAAAACGCACCCAAAGAGGAGAGCCTTAATCACAGTAGGAATCCAGGTTTAGTAGGAAAAGCACCTGAACCAAGGTCGCTCTGGTTGTGTGAACCAGCAGAGGATTAGCTTGAAGAGAGTCCTTTCCAGGGGTGGGATGCTACCAGTTCTTCCTGGCTCTATAGAACTGGTAGCTCTGAAGAGCAGCAGACACCAAACCGATTCTGTGTTTGCTGCTGTTTGGCCCACCCGCCCTCCTGGCTCTTACCTATCCTTTATTTCCTGCTTTTCCAACCTTAGCTGCTTTGCGCAGCACAGCTGAGGTTGAAAAAGCAGGAAAAAGAGGCTTTTCAAATGCTGTGCATCTGCGCGCAGTGCTTTTCAGCTGTCCGGGTGGCACAGCTGATGTTTTTATACACACGCGCGCAGTGTTGGAACACCCACAACTTCTGGAGGCATGTCATTTCATTGATTAATTATTCTGTCAGGAAATTTCTCCTTATTTCTAGATTGGTTCTCTTCTTGTTTAGTTTCCATTCATTGCTTCTTGTCCTGCCTTCATATGCTTTGGAGAATAGGTTGGCTCCTTCTTGGTCACAGTCTCCCAAATATTGGAACACTGCTATCTTGTCATCCTTAATCTTTCATTTCATTAAATTAAACATACCCAATCCCTGCGACCGTTCTTCACATGTTTTAGCCTCCAGTCCCCTAATCATCTTTGTGGCTCTTCTCTGCACTCTTTCTAGAGTCTCATCATCTTTCATGGCAACAAAACTGGATGTAGTATTCCGAGTGTGATCTTACCAAGTATTATAAATAAATGGAAATTGAAGCTACAATGTTGAAAGATGTGATCATAAAATATATTGCCTTTTTATAAAATAGCCGCCATGGAGGCCACAACATCAACTGAGGAATGTTGACCTAGCATTCTTTTAATCCTTTTAATCCTCCAGGTTCTCTTTCAGCCCTTTGAAATAGGTCAAATCAAGAAACAAATACCAGAAGAAATCCTAAAACCCTACCTTATTAATATAGACTATAATAAAAGAATTTTGAAAGCCTGACAGATTTCTCTTTCCCTCCCTGTTATACCCAAAGAGTCAAGGAAATCTTGAATTTCTTTCTTGCGCTCTCCTTTTTCCTGAGCTAAATTTGTATATTTCCAGCAGTTACCCACTCTTTTCTTCTATACACCTCTACACAAGCATAGTTTCTTCCTTTTGGACACGGGAAGATAAGCCATGATTCCAAAATAAGTAGTCGTCAATTTACAAACACAATTGAGCCCAAAATTTCTGTTGCTAAGCAAGACAGCTGTTAAGTGAACTTCTCCCCATTTTATGAACTTTTTGCAATTATTATATCACTGTAGTGACACAGTTGTTAAGTGAATCTGGCTTCCCCATTGACTTTGCTTGTCAGGAGGTCACAAAAGGGGATCACGTGACTCAAGGACACTGCAACTGTCATAAATATGAGTCAGTTGCTAAGATCTGAATTTTGATTACAGGATGGGGGAGGGGATATTGCAATGGTTGTAAGTGTGAAAAGTGGTCATTTTTCCAGTGCTGTTGGGGACTACCTGTAAAGCAGTGTCCTCTAACCTTTTGGGTAGCAGGGACTGGTTCTGTGAAGAGAGGTTTTTTCCATGGACTGGAGGCGGTGTGGTTTTGTGTGCTGCCTGCATCCTGCAGATGAGGTTTCATTTGTTTGCGCGGACCAGTTGCTAGCATGCCACCTCCCAATGCTAATCCACGGACTGGAGGACCCCTGCTGTAAAGCATTACTTTACCACTGACTATTTTTATTTCTTAACAATTCCTATGTGGGATCCAGAGGCATTATTGTAAATAAAGACAATGCTAGGGATAGTTGCTTTGCTCCGCAACACGTCCCTTTCTTTCCCCTTTCATTCATTCATTCATAACTGAAAAATCTAGAGGGAAAAAAGTCAAGTTGGCCAAACAGATTGCTGCCCACCAAGAAGCCATTGGTGGATTGTAAATTACCAATCTTAATCCCCCCCTCCCTCTCTCCCTTCTCTCTCTCACTCTCTCTTTCTCTCTGTCTCTCTTTCACACGCTCTCTTTCTCTCTCTCTCTCACGCTCTCTCTCCTTTATACCACTTCCCCATTCCTCCTAGTATGAGATTTCCTCCATATACTTAAGTCATCTCTATACCTATTCATTATGACACTACTACTGCTGTGGAATGTCGACAATGGAAGATTACAATCCAATGCAAATTATGTGTGTGAACAGCAAACAGATGCAATCAAATGGCATGAACCTGGAGTAGGTAGATGGCTGTGTGGTTTGCAACACATCGTTCGATATAGCAGCAAGGTTTACATTGCTGGATTTATTTCTCCATTTCCAGCAGCTATAAATCACTAAAACTTAATTGGATACTCACAAATCTACTTACCCTTTGAGACTTTTTTTTAAAAAACGCTTTAATGAACAGCTGCATTCTATCACCAGGTCAAGAGAAACTCTGGCCTACCACTTTTGTTGAATTACAACTTCTACCAGCCTTAATGAAGAGAGTCAACAGGAAAAGATACTAGAAATATTACTCAATTAAAAAAAAAAATCCACAGGATCCAATCTGGGTCGGTCACTGGGACCAGAATTTTAGTCTTCTGAGCTTTCAGATTCGTGCTGGAGCCCATCCTCAGGGAATTTCTATAATAATATGTGCTTTATGCATAGTAACACACATTCTGGTATAGAGAAGTTCCCTGAGGATGGGTGATTATCTACGTGTGATCAACCCAGATTGGATCCTGCAACATTATCCTGGGACATGTCTGTATTTGCCTTCATTTGTAAAAGTCCACCAGTTCTCTTGAGAATAACTGTTTCCCTTGTGTGTGTTTTGTATTGATAAAAAAAAATCTCACACAAATGATCAAGAGAAAAGCAGAATCTTTTCCTCAAGACAGGTTACATGCCATCAAGTCATTCTCAACTCCTAGTAACTATATAGGGTTTTTTCCCCCATAACGATCCTCTCTCATCTGTTCTCCCAACTAAATCCATCCATCTTGCTACACCTTTCTTCAAGGGTCTCCAAAATGAACAGTGAAGTCTTATCATAACCAAATTGCAAAAAAAATCCAGGGGATTTCTATTATTAGATACAGATACAGATTGACAGAGTTGGAAGGGACCTTGTAGGTCATCTAGTCCAACCCCCCCCTCTCCCCACCCAAGTAGACCCTACACCATTTTTGACAGATGGAGTCCATTCTCTTGAAAGCTTCCAGTGATGAAGCTCCCACAACTCTTTGTTGACATCTAAGGATTGTTTAGAATTTGAATAGGAGCTTAGATGTGACAGATCTAACATAATACAGCTGTCCATGCCTTTCTGTGCTGCATAAAGAGAAGTCCCAAAGGTGTTTTTTCAAAGGGCAACAGGATTTCCTTTGCTTTTCCTTGAAGACATTTCACTTCTCATCGCAGAAACTTCTTCAGTTCTTCAAGAACTGTAAGAACTTTATAATTCTTCAATGAGAAGCATCTTCAAGGAAAAACCAAGGAAGTTCCGTTGCCTCTTGGCAAAGCACCTTTGAGACAACCATGATGATGATGAATCTCCATTGATATTTACATGACTAGAACTTCATTAACTTAATGGCAGCATGATTCACAAAGATAATGGGTTGACCTTAGGACATGATGACATTTATCTTGACCATTTGG